AAGTAAACAACTCAAAAATTTCCTAAAAAGGAAATTTTCAAGCATAGAAAGGGGAGTGGGAAAGAGTTTTTTTTTTTTATTATTATATTCTATTTATTTTATTAAATATGTATATAAAAATTTAATATTAATAATATAATTTTTTGTTTATTTTAAATTGATTTTAAAATTTTGAATATATCAAAAATTCTAAGTATTATTTAATTAATATATAATAAGAAATATTAATAAAACATATAAATTTTTATGTTTTATTATATATATAAAATAATAAATCCAATGAAATAATCAATTTTGACAAAAAAAAAAACAAAATATTAAAACATTTGTTTTATTTAAAATAATTTGATGTTTTTATTTTATTTTTTTATACCAATGGTTTTTTTTTTATAAATAAAATTTAAATAGGTTTTTTAATTATTGATTGCTTCAAAAAAACTTTCAAAAAAAACAAAGCTGTGTAATAAAACAATAAAATCTTTTTAAAAGTATACTTTAAATATTTTTAATTAGCAATAAAATAATAAAATTTGAATAATGTTTTTAATTGAAAGTAGTAATAAAGTATTTACCTTAATAGATTAAAAAGTAAATTAAAAAATTTTTTATTTATTAATATAATTTATTTGTTTAGTTTTCTTTTGTTAAAAAGAAAAAACTATTAAAGTATTTTTATACATGCTAATAGTATTTCATCTTAAAACAAATTAATAATAACAAGCAAATATAAAAAAAAACTTAGATACAGTTCAAAGTATTAATAAAGCAAGGCCAGCAGTGTTATAAAATACCTAATATATAAATTCAAAAATATTTATTATTTTTTGTCCAACTTTAAATCCTTGAATTCGCAACGCAGCATACATGGTTGTTCCATTATAGATGGGCGTTTTGAACGGCTGTGGTTTTGTTGATAACAATTTGTTATAATCCGATTTTAAACCGGTTTTCGAAAATGCAATTTGATATAGTTTCTTTCAATAGGGATTTGTATCATTGAGATTATTGACTATTATTTCTTTCAAGGTATCAAAACAACAATCTGGAAACGCTCTTTTGAATACGTCATTACTTCTTCCAACATCTAATTGCCTAGACCGAGGAAATAGGAGTCCGCGTTGTCATCCAAAATGAGGCTTTTTGCGTAAAAAATTTTTGTGTTAGTGTTGTAACATGGATAGATAAAAATGGAAAATGGGCAAATAAACCTCAAATATGACCCACGATAAATACCACTCAATGTATGTCTTCTTTAAAAAAAAGACGACAGACAGTATAAGAAACTGAAATGGAAGAAAAAGTTATGAATAATGTCAGCGCTTCCTCAGACACGAAGGTCGGTGTAAAAGAACCAACAGCTGAAGCTACAAACTACCAAAATAAAAGTGAGACGACCCAAAATGCTTTAAGTATTCCAACAATTAATGTTTCAAGTCAAATATCACAAAAAAATGACGCGGACACAGCGGGTAGCAAGTTAGAGGGCTCAAATGCTGCTTCTTTTTCCGACGCAGAACAAGACTCAGCGACAATAATAGCAAGTTTTTGGCGCTGCCATCGGTAATAACTAATTTTCGTGCTTGCTCAAACATCCTACAGTATTTTTAAGCCCTCACTTTTTTTTACACGTTTAAACTTAAACAGCAAGTCTAGGGAAAATAAAGGAAAAATATTATCTGCCAAGTCGCGAGACAAACATAAAAGAGCCGGAGGCGATAAAGTTTGCATGCATCTATCTGATAATTGTCCAGCATGGACACATTGGAAAGAATTACTTGAAGCTATCGAAGAACGGATACGTATGAAAAGCATGATGAATGAACTTCCAAGCACCAATCAAAAGTTGGGGATCGCAATTTCCGTGGTTGAGCGTATCGCAAAGGTATATATAGTCAATAGACATTCTTAAAGGTATTGATTTATTTTTGTATTCACATTATCAATTAATGCCAGGGTGCCGCGAAAAATCAACATCTCTGGCTAATATTAGACACCGAGCATTGGCTAGAGATCTGTGATAACCGTCATCGATATGGAGCAAATTTAAAGGTTAGTAAAGAGAAATAATCCTATTTCAAACCAATAACTTACGTCGATTTAACACTTCATCTTTATTCAATAGGTATATCATGATTATTGGCTTAGCACAAACACACCAGAAAATTTCTTTTATTGGCTAGATGAAGGAAATGGCAAGGATCTGAGTATACCAGGATGTGAACGAAGTCTAGTTGAACGTCAGCGAGTGAAGTATCTTACACGCGAAGAGCGATTAGATTACGAAGTAATATTCAAGGATGGATTATTAATATACAAGAAAAGCGAGAAACCTGTTCATACCAATCCACCTTCCATCGACGGAGTTGGATCATCAGCCATAGCATCATTACACGCATCTGAAGCATCTGAAAATGACACCGGTCGCCCATCATCACCTACACCGAGCTCAACGGGCAGTCTAAATGAAAATGATACATCTCATTTAACGCACAAACGTTATGATAGCGGCACGAACGGTGTGCGAGAAAAATGGATCTATGTCACAGATTGTCAAGGGAGATTTTACGTGGGAAGAAAAATCAAAGGTCATTTTCACCACTCGTCATTCCTTGCAGGTGGTGCTATATGTGCTGCCGGTGGAATTAAAGTTCGTGAAGGAGAACTAATTTCCATCAATCCAAATTCGGGTCATTACAAGCCAGCGCAACGCCATTTCAAAGCTCTTATTGAAAGATTAAGCAATAATGGTGTAAATATAAGTAATGTTAAAGTGGTCTATCCTGACGACCTCACAGAGCAACGTCTAATGGCAAAGTACAAGGTCAGACGTGTTGCACAATTGAAAATGATGTACAACGCGTTTGGTCAAGATGTAGAGCAAGCGGTCAATCAACAATTTGACTCTGTAGATCGGTATGTTACTAAAACGTCACATGATTTCAAGAAGAACATAGAATTATTTCTTAGAGAGGGTAAAGAGACACTTCGTGAGTGGTTTGATTTAACGAGCTCTGACCATAAACCTCTCGAAAATGATGTCAATCATAATCGGGTTGAAAATAATACCGGAGGAAGTGACCTTCTCGAGTCTAATGGTCAACCTACAAGCGATACATGTGACAAAAAGAAAATTAAGGTTAAACATGAGCGGAAATTTAGTGGGTTTTTACAGGAAATTTTTACGGGCGTTGCATTATTTTTTACAACTCCCTTGGACCAAAAAAACACAGTCGCGGCCAAAAAAGATAATGAACACAATGAGCTAGTGGATGAACCTGTTAATTTATCCTCAGAAAGTACTGTGCAATATAGAGTAGTCGCATAATTTATTTATATATTTGATGTTTCATGTTTTTTAACTTATTTTAAACAAAAACAAAAAAAAAAAAAAAAAAAAAATTTATACGCATATATAAAATCGATTTTTTGATTCAAAAGTAATAAACGATACAATGAAAAATCCACAAATCAAAACGTTGGGAGGTAACTGGATATGGCAAGGCGCGTTTAGAAAAAATAAAAATAAAACCAACATTCATATATTCACGATACTCTTGCTTTCCCTACACATTCCTACTGTTCACATAATAAAAGACATCGTGTAAAAATGACTCGAACAAGTTCGCCGCCTAGTCGTGGGATGGTAGTCTTTTCAGTATCCTTTTATATCATCACGGCTACTACAATGATATTTGTGAACAAGGTATTTGTCGTTCATGAAATCCGAAAGTGCAGTCGCACTTATGAATGCATATCTTATTGAATCCTTCTGAACGCATAAATACTTTAAATACATCTTTCGTCTGTCTGTTCCATCGTCTCAATACTATGCATTTAGAGAAGTGTGACTGTAGACGTCCTTGACTAATAATGTTTATGAGCTCATATCTTGATAGTTCGTAACAAGTCAGACTAAAAAAAATTTGTTTATTTATTTTCTAACCTTAAAACTTTTTGACAGTGGGTGTTAAAAAATGTCTCACTACCATTTACTCTACTATGGTTTCAAGTCTTTCTTGCAATAGTATTTTTGCACATTTCTTCTTTTCTTGGATTATTTCAAATACCCCAGGTTCAAAGACAAGTGTGCGTAGGACTATTCCCTCTTATCATTGTCAACGTCTTGGGACTTAGCTTTAATACAGCATGTTTACAGTATGTAGATGCAAGCTTTTATCAGGTTCGATTCTTTTTCTCGATAGCTATTGGTGATCAATGTATATATATATATATATCCTAATTTTGGTATCGATCGTCTTGCGAAGGTTGCTCGCGCACTAGTTCTTCCCTTTACAGTTTTCTTTTCTTACATATTCCTTAAGCAAAGATCGTCCGCAATGGTTCTTTTAGCCTGCTCTGTTGTCTGCACTGGCTTTTTTATTGGTGTATCATCAGAGCATCTAACTATTTCTATGGTTGGAATCACCTTCGGCGTCCTGTCATCCATTTCCACAGCATTACACGCGATTATCATAAAGAAAAGTTTGGATATTGTCCAAGGAAACACTATGGAACTTGTTTACTATAATAACCTTCTCAGCGTTATTGCGTTTACTCCATTGATCTTTCTCTTCGGCGAGCAAACGGAAATCACAAAGTTAATATCTGAATCTGATCAAAATAATTCTTTGCTCAGAACTTTTGTCATCGGTATATTCGTGACGGTAAGTTGATTTCTCAATTGTTTGAAGATCTGGAGATAAATAATCAATACTTTCCATTCCTTCTGTAGGGATTTTTTGGATTTCTTATAAATATTGCTGGATTTTTCCAAATAAAAGTCACTTCTCCGGTGACACACATGATATCATCTGCGTTTCGCGGTGTTTTACAGACAATGTTGGGTGCATTTATATTCGAAGATGTTTTAACTAGTGGTCGTGTTGGTAGCATCATCCTAATTCTCGCAGGAAGCTGTTACTATACATGGATCAAAGATCAAGAAAACAGAAACGCCTTAACCGATACAAAAATATACAGTAAACTAGAGAATGGTCAGATCGAAGATGATGATAAAATGGAGTCAATTGAAACTAAACTTGAAAAATAATATA